CCCTTCAATCCATACTCCAATGCTTTTTAGAAGTTTCAACCTCAAAACTTAATTTAGTTCGTTATGCGATTATTTCTAAGTTTAAGCAGTTTTAACAGATTGGGTATTTGTCATGAAATCCAAAAAAAGCTTACATAATTTGCAACCCACTTGTTATTGCTGAAATTTTTATAGCTATGAAATTATCAGAGTTCAAGTTATTAATATAAATGTTTTCAGTTTTTTAATAACACTATAAAAGAATAATACATCTACTATATTTCTTTATTTGATTGCTTATTTATTTGTTTGTTGAGGTCATACTGTGGTTGTCAACCGGTTAACCAAATGAAAGCTTTTCATATCAACTTTTTTTTCATGCATCTGTTTGAAAATATGAAATTAGAAAAGTTTAAAATGTGTTTTTCATTTTTTAACATTATTTTGATGGTTAGACTGTATTATTTGAAGTCAAATACTGTCCAGATATCATTTTATTTAATAACATACTGTACTGTACATCACTGTTTAGATGTAAGACCATGACAACTAATGAAGATGTAAGTTTTCTTTCAAATAATAAAAATTATTATTAATAAACTTCATATGGTTTATTTAACAAAAGCCTTTTCATAATGATAAAAATATGATACTTACAAATTCTGTCTGAACACTAAACTTGATCAGACGGATCATTTATCTACAAACATATATCTAAATGACTCTTTTCACAAACAAACAACACAACCTCTTGGTATCTGAAGAAAATGGCTAAAATCAAAGTAACAGTTCATGACAAAACATCTTGCGTCAATATATTAAAAAAGTATTTATACTTTGATAAACCCCATATTAAGACTTATGTTTCAAAAAAGTCCCTTATATTTCATCTGACATTGTTGCTGTCATTAGTGGACTAACTACGTGGACTCACAGCTGCAGCAGACTCACATACAGTACACACCCAGACCTAATTATGCCACCAATTTGTTTAAGGTTTCTTTGACAACTGACTTTCAAACTCTAAGAATCAGAGTTAAAGAAAAAGTAATGCAAATATAAAAACAAAAAGTATACTTACAGCTTGAGAGCAAGTTTCTTTCTCGTTTTTACGTCTTCTCTTTTTCGGTGTGACCAGAAGCTATATTAAACTCCTCAAGTCAAACATCAACCCCCTCACCCCTCCAACTCTTCCCATCATCCCTCACACTCGTTTCAGTGAAGACACTGCATCTCTTGTATCGTCTCTATGCTTCCCTCCCCTCTTTTTTTTCTCCTTTTTTTTTCTCACACTACCTGGAACTCTGGATTTGCTTGGCTTCCATAACTCCAACCCCCATCTTTTCGCTGGGAGACACTCAAACACTAAATGAAAAACACATGCTGCTACCCCCCACCCCACCCCACCCCTACCCCAGCAAACACACACCCWCACCCTCTGTAGGGGCCCAAGGTAGCATGTTCTGTAATACAGTTGGCTGTGTTGAACAGGGCTTTTCATTCATAGAAGAGGAGCAGGTTTCCTCCCTTTACTCCACAAACATCTTAACTCCCATAATGCACTTTGCTTTCAGAAGCCAGACTCAGCATGCTGTCCACGAGACTCTAAGAGAATGAAACAATTTGTCCTGCACAGTTTGTCAATATGATGACTCAGTTCTTGATGACGTCCCCCACCTGAAGGCTTTCCTCTAAGACTCAGCTTGTTGACATGACACTGAAACACTAAATCCCAAAGCTGCCTCTGCCCCTCGACCCTCGATCGCTTTCCTCCAACTCTCAAGCATTCCTCACTCCTCTGTCCCTCCCCACACCTGCTGTCAACCACCTCCAGGCCATCACTCCCTGCAGAGACTTCACCCAAAGTCAAACAAACAGAGGCAAGAGGAGAAAGTCGTGGTGATGGTTACCTCCTTGTTGTTGCATGGCGCCTGTGCGTTGGCAGGTGATGGAGGATCTAGTTCTGGACTTCGGCTGGAACTGCGAGACTGAGTACTGCTGCTGCTCGACTTGGCTGTGGAGTCTGAGTCTGATGAGTCCGAGCTGGAATGTCTCACCCGCCTGCCATATGTGTGCGCTCGCTGCGTTGACAGGCTGTCAGTCAACACAAACACCAGAGACAGGTCAGTGGACGCTCACAACACCGGTGGGTGTGAGCAACATTAGTCACACAGATGAACTCATTTCTAAATCCAAATATTAAAACATTTAAAAATCAGATCCATAACATACCTGTGTCTGTCCCAGGAAGYCGACTCGTGAATGGTCTTTAAAGAAAACACACACACACAAACAAAAAAATGTATCTTCCAGTGCAGCAGCAAAGCAAATGACTTGTTACACCCAATTTAATAACACTGCAGACTCTCATTTAACATGCCACAAAACACTACCAGAAAAACAAGAATCTTAAAGCTCCAGAACACTACACTTATAATTAGTGTTCTTCTCCTTGCATTTCCTCTTCCTTTGTCCTCATATGGCCTCCCTTTCTTCTGTCTCTTTATAAGGAACTAAACCTATTCCAACTGAGTCAAAACCATTGGTAAGAAGTTGTTAGAAGTTACATGTTGCCTACCCTCTGAGTGTCCTCATCATCACTGCTCAGCTTTAGGTCGTCAGCCAGCATCCTGTAAATAGGCAGAAAATAAAACACCTGTCAGACACCATATTTGGAATCAGTCTGTACCATAAATACGGTATATAGTTTGATCTGCAATTACAACAAGAAWAAAAAGACAAGGATGACAAAAACAAGAGCAAGAACCAATCTTTTTTGTGAAYTGGCAACAAAGTAGATTGTATACTTTGTGTCACATTAAACTACACGATCGTAAATGGGGAGGACAGTGAGTGTAACATGAATGGTACCCTTGTTTTCCAACAAGCAGAAAGTTTTCAACAGAAAATGACAATATTTCAAGGCATCATAGTATATTACATTGGAYAAACACACACAAAGTTGTTAGAAATAAATAAAAAGATCTGCTTCTAAAAAACATGTATTAACTTATGCACTTGAAAGAAATAAAGGTGTGGACCTTTTAAAAGTTTCTAAGTGAAAAATAAGCAACAACCTGACGTATGTTTTATGTCTGTTTTTCTGAAGACATAAAAATGCAGCTAAATGTTTAATTTATCCAAAAGCCACTTATTACATGTATTTAAAAAAAAACAAGAACTAAAATACTCTGCATAGTTTGAAAAAAATTATTTTGCATACAACTAAACAATTTATATTTAATTTCACCTCAAAGCTTAAAAAGCTGTCACCATGCATCATAAACTGCAGCATACATGTGTCCCTGGGGAAGGAAACTTAATAAATAACTATCTTAATTTTTATAGTTTTATAAACTCTATTGTTGTGAGTTTTACTGTCCAAGTTTTGTATGTTATGTTTGTTTTAGAGAAATAAAATTTAATGCTGACCTCCATTTTTATTTTTTTAAATTTGGTTTATAAAAACATCATAATCAGCTTTGCATTTCACAATTGTTTGCATTATGTGGTATTCTGTGCTTATTTGCAAGCAAAATACTAGCAGTAGCAGCTAGCTGTTGCACCTCTGTAACAGCCTGGGCACCTCCAGTAAGAATATCATAAAATTTAATTCAAAACAACAAAAAAATGCAMAGAAACTTTATTATAAGGTTAATTTAAAAAATGTTAACATGAACAAAAATTCAGTGATTTGTATCGTTTATAAGACAGCGGCCAGTTTTATTAATTTATGTTTTTGGCCTTGGCCTCACTGGACTAACCTGTTAGTTTGGGTAGGTTTAAACTTTTTCACCAAACTGTGTCAGGATCTGTGTTATTGTTAGTTTATGTGTTAGATTAACTTTGTGATCTTTGTGTTTTGTTTGCCTGTATCCCCCCTTCTCAGTGCCTGTATTCAACTCAGTCTGCCACACCCACTCTCACCTGTTCCCAGCCCAGAATTTTGCTCAGGTGTCTCCATTCCTCTGTCTTTTCAGYCCATGTCTCATAATCACCAGCTGTGCATGATTGGTTTTAGGGATCATACAGGCCTTAATAGTTCTCTTTTTCGTATAGGGAAACATGAAAACAGGGACTTGTCATTATTGTAATCAGATGGAAACAGTGGAACATGTTTTAKTAGAATGTAGCMAATATTCAGAGGAATGTCAGCATTTAAAGTCRGTTTAAAATAGAGAGAAAAAAGCATTTTATTTAATTAATATGAGTCARAWTCTGTAARGAATCAATTAATCWGATTTTTAAAAAATACTAAGTTATTTAATAAAATTTAAAATATGCATATGTGTGCATGTGTACATATGTATGCATGTGTGCATGTAGYAGAGAGGCGCAAGTCGATGACACAATCTGTTACTGTCCTTATTCTCAATTTTTTTGCACGCTTATAACCTGCGCACTCGAACACTTAMGTGCACTTCGACTAAATCCACACTTCACAGAGGGGCGTAGGGTGCACCTGGGCATTGGGACAAGGCCCTGGTCTTCCTCGTTCTTTCTCATGCTCCCTGTGATTACTCTTCTGACTGTAAGTTCTTTTCAGCTTTTAGCTTTTTGTTTGAAAAATAAGTTTCTAATCATTTTCCTGATTTTGTCTCCATTATGACTGCATTTGGGTCCTTTTAACCTTTACATAAAATTAAAGTTCTAAATCAAATGCATTTCTGCAACCTTCTGATGCTGCAGCAATTCTTGTCTGTTCCTGTTTGAACAGCTCTTTCTTATTAGGGTTGTGATTACATTTCTCATACAGTTTTGCTTTACATTTTAGTTACTTGTATCTATTTGACATCTAACATTAYAATTACAAACATAATAAGACACAAAAACATGTTATATTACTGTACTTTAATTTAAAAAAATTAATTATCTATGACAAACTTATGTTAACAGGAAGTTTAGAGAGTTTTATTATTTAACCAGCTGTGATACTGCCCTCTCTCTGTCAGCATATCTCTGTTAGTTCGTTTATTTTTTCCCTCTTTGCTCTTCTAATTGACAGGATGTCCTGGACAAAGAGCACCAACTTCTAATGATCTCTCAAGTATAAATAAAGCTTGAATGAATGAATGAATGAATGAATGAATGAATGAATGAATGAATGAATGAATGAATGAATGAATGAATGAATGAATGTTTTTGACAAGTTAAGTAAAAAAACCTGCTGTTTCATAACAGAGCCTGTGAAATAATGTGAGGCATGTAGATGACTTACGGTGCAGAACATGTGTTTCACATTAAAAGAAGGATGTAAAATGTTAACAAACAGGAGCGCATCGGTCTCCTCTGACAGCTCTCAGGAATGTAAAGTGACCTTTGACCTTAATGACTACCTGAAACACCGTTAACTGTTTTGACCCAAGGCATCTAGTTCCCTTTATGCATCTCTGGATTCCTCCAGCTTTTCCTCGTGTCTTTTCAGACAATGAGGTTCGTAAATATTTTTTACGTCACGGAGAAGCAAATGGATTATGCATGTGATGTATATTTTTGTCTCCACATGCGCCTCAGCAGAGGTTTATGTTAGGGGACCCCGTTTGTATCAAGTTTCTTCTTTCCCTTACCCACTTACGATTTGTGAGGCGCCACACAAGGGTGCCGGTGGACCACTCGCTGCGGTGCCTCCCCCTGACCTAACAAACAAGACAAACAGGGTGAAGAAATACAAAACAATTCAAACACGTAAACAGATCAGGAAGTGAATACATACTTTGTCTTTGGTGTGCAGCTGACTGCTTTCCATCCTGGAAAAATAAACAACATTGAAGGCTGTTATTCTGCTGATTAACACAGTTTTTTGTTGATGTGACAAAAACACTATCCAAATTAACAGAGAATAACTTTTAAACAAGAGGGTGTTTTTTATGAGGTACACAAGGATCAAACAATTTCTTATACCTCAAGAAGGAAAAAWATATATATATTTGAAAAAATAGAAAGATGCCCACAAGGGGCACTCAATTAAGAACTTGTGCTGTAAAATTTATTTGCTAGAAGCATAAATGCACTCAGCTAGCCATAATTATCTGATTTTGGGTTAAAAWTTTTACCAGGCAACATAAATAAAATCTGAAAGGTAAGAACCATTTAACATGTCCTTCCAGTAAGGGAAGGAGGGAGGAAGACRACCAGTGAGGGTGAGTGACACTAAACAACATGAAGCATCAAAGATCCTGGTGTACACCAGGAAGAAAGCCACCATGAAATGCTAAGTGGATGTCTCAGGCAGCACAAACCCAATGGAAGAWGAGGAACCTTTATGGAATGATAAACACCTGCACAGTGGGTACCAACGGCAGATTACGAGATGCTGTCCGTCTACATTATCTACTTGTTCCAGGGTGGGGTCACGGGGGCAGTAGTTTGAYCAGGAAGTCCCRGACCTCTCTTCCCACAGCCACCTCTTCTAGCACTTCTAGGAGGATTCTAAAGTGTTCCCAGGCCAGATGAGAAACATASTCTCTCTAGAGTGACCTGGGTCTTRTCCAGGGTTTCCTCTCATGTCTGAGGAGGTGTCCAGGAAGCATCCTTACCAGATGCCCGAACCACCTCAACTGGCTCTTTTCGATGTGGAGGAGCAGCGGCTCCACTCTGAGTCTCTCTTGGATAAMTGAACTTCTCACTCARTCCCTGAGGAAGAGTCCAGTTACCCTGCCAAGAAAACTCATTTTGACTGCCTGTGTCTGTGATTGTGTTCTTTCTGTTAATACCCAAGTGTGTGGCCATGGGTGAGGACAGGAATTTAGTCTGACTCAGTTCAGCTCCGTCTTCCCCACAACAGACCAGTACAGAGTCCACAATACTGTAGAAGTCGTACAGATTTGTCTATCAATCTCACGCTTCATTCTACMTTCACTCATAAACAAACCCAAGATATTTGAACTCCCCCCACTTTTAGACCAAGACTAAGGCAGTGTGGGACTTTCAGATCCAGACTGAGAAACAGGTGTGGACTAACCAACCAGATATTTTGGTTGTTGACAAGCTACAGGACAAGACAGGGGTGATAAATGTAGCAATCCAAAGCAAATGTAACATCAGGAAGAAGGAGCACGATAAGCTTGAGAAATACCAAGTGGTGAAGGAGGAAATACAGACGTTGTGGGGAGTCAAGGTTCTATAACCCCAAACTAGAAACTTTGCTCCAACAGATCCCAGGAACAAACTCTGTCCAGAAAAACAGCTAAGATACTACGCAGTGCAACAAACTTTGTATTTTGAGTGCTCTTTATTTACTGTACAAACATGTTGTGAGTTACTTTTTTACTTTAGCCAATTCAATTTGTATTAAGTTGAATTTTTTCCCTCATATCAATGTCAGTGATCTTTTTCAATTAAACTTTACTGTTCTCAGCTAACATTTGAATTTCTCATATCTTTGTTATTTTGTCCATTTTGTAAGCTGTTTGTGATCATTTGATTTGTAGGAAATGAGCTACATGAATTCAGTTTGACACATTTATTTATTATCATACAGATTATAAAAGGTTTGCCAGAAAATAATCAAATAAGATGAATTGAAATTACTTTTTTCTCTGTCATTTGTTGCTTATTCCTGTTGAAACCTAGTGATTAATTTACCCAGAATGAAGATAAAACCTTTAGCTTCTCATGATTGACATTTTAGGCAGAAACATGGAGTGGGCCACAGAACTTATGGGCATTCCACACTCAAACAGACGCTAATTCTAATAACATACCGGGATTCCAACACACCAGACAGTACAAACCCATAAATAGTTTGCTTTTAATTAAAACAACAAAGAACAAACACACACCTTGTAGTTGTAGAGGATTCGCTGGTCACCCCCGAAGGCCTGCTGGGACGGCCAGGACTGAGTCATGTCCTTTGTAACACAAACAGAAACAGGAATTAAAGATGAATAAATGGTGACACTGTGTAAGAAAAAATAAAAGAATGAAGAAAATACACATTGATCAGACTGTCACTGTCATCAGAATGTTCATATTTTCACTTTAGTTTAGCTTAATTTTGTTTCTGTTTTACACACATCTGTTCGACATCTGACTCTCATCACCAGCCCTGCCTCCCACTCCGCCCCCAACGAGAATGTGCCTCGTAAATGAACGTCAACTTCAGAGTCTAGTTCAGGCTCAGTGAAGTGAATTACATGCTTGAAGTGGTCGTGATCAGTCGCTGTGTGGTAAAAATGAAATCTCCGTCTCATTAGATCTGCTGCTGCACGGCTACATCAGCAGGTGAAAACAACGGCTCATTTTYGAAAATGCAAACTAAACACAGCTGAAAAAGAGACATTTAAAAAAAAGAAGAAGAAATGCAATGTTTTATTTATCGTGGGATCATTACCAAAAACTYAACAAGCTTTTACAAGATTGTGTTTTTAATCACATTCATTTAGTGAAGCAGAAACTCAAACATTTGTTTTGAGGAGAGAAGAGTAAAACTTATCAGTTTATTTTCTCCTGCTGCCATGAACAGTGGGTAATCATGTGTGTGCCTGGGAGTATGTTAGTCTCTGTGTTAGCAAAATATCTCAAACCACCWTATTAGAGTTTACTGAAACTAACTTTTACAATGAATCAAGATCAAGAGCTAATCAGCTTTGACAAATACAAAAACCTCTAAATCTGTCCTTTTTATAAATGTTGCAATAAATTTTGGTGTGGTAGTAGCTGAGGATCATCTTCAACACATAATTCTTGTGCTAACACATCACRTAAGATATTTACTGAAAATCAATTTTTAGCTTTGTGAAAAGCATGCATTGTGACATTTTGTGTC